TTAAAAAATAAATAAATCCATTGTTAACATGACTTCAGTGGGTTGGAGAAGGGATAGCTCAGTCGGGAGAGCATGAGACTATTAAATCATGGGTCATGGGTTCGAATCCCATGTTGGGCAAAAAGATTCCTGCATTGCAGAGGGGTTGAATTAGATGACCCTTGTGGTCCCTTCCAGCTCTACAGTTCTGTGATTTTCGAACTTCAGGTTGCTTTTTAAATCTCTCTCTCTCTCTCTCTCTCTCTCTCTCTCTCTCTCTCTCACACACACACACACACACACACTTATTTATTGCAGTTATATCCCACTTTTTTTCTGTCCCAAGTTGCTCAAGGTGGCATCTGTGGTTCCCCCTGCCATTTCATTTAATCCCCACAGCAACCCAGTGAGGTAGATTATACTGAGAGGCATTGACTGCCCAAGGTCACCCAGCAAACTTAATGGCCAAGTGGGGATTTGAACCCTGAATTCCCAGGTCCTGCTCCAACACTAAACCCTACAGCACACTGCACACACACACAGACACAGAAACAGAAACTAGCTAGGTCAGAGATGGGGACCCCTCTCCTGTTTGCTCTGCAATATGGATGGGGAAGCCCAGGCACTGGCCTCGGGGCTTCTTTCTCCAAAGTGTGCCAGGAGCACCTGATACAAAGAGTGTGGTGGATGCTCAGAGAAGAAGCCCAGCTCTGGAAAAGAGACCTATTGATTTCTCCGGTGGAAGTGTGGTGTTTGTGTAGGACTGCAGACTTAAGTTTATCTGACTTGGGTGGCTTTCTAACCCCCAACCCCCATGCAGAATTTGTACCCTTTTCTTCCCCTAAAGGTAAAGGGACCCCTGACCATTAGGTCCAGTCGTGGCCGACTCTGGGGTTGCGGCGCTCATCTCGCTTTATTGGCCAAGGGAGCTGGCATACAGCTTCCGGGTCATGTGGCCAGCATGACTAAGCCGCTTCTGGTGAACCAGAGCAGCACACAGAAACGCCGTTTACCTTCCCGTCGGAGTGGTACCTATTTATCTGCTTGCACTTGGATGTGCTTTTGAACTGCTAGGTGGGCAGGAGCAGGGACCGAGCAACAGGAGCCCACTCCGTCACGGAGATTCGAACCGCCGACCTTCTGATTGGCAAGTCCTAGGCCCTGTGGTTTAACCCACAACGCCACCCGTGTCCCTAACCGGCGCCCACCCTACCGTACTCACAGCGCCCACCTGTTTCTTCCCCTACCCCTACCTGGCCCCAAAGGTAGTTGTCTACACAGCCCGCTGTGCTCACGTGACAGATCCACCAAGCGAACTTGCCCGGAAGGAACAATTTGCCCCGAACGTGAATACGCTTTGCTGCAGAGTATTCAAGCTTTCTTTTCCCCCTTTCCCTTTCCAAAAATAAGATCAGCCATACCAGCCGGCGCTGGTAGGAGAGGAAGCGAGGCATCTAATAAGTATCGCCTTCGTTTTGCTCCTCTCCAGACTCTTTGCTCCCGTGATATTGCCTGGGCAAAGGGAGCAGCCCATTTTCTCCCCGAGCCCCCAGAGGGCAACTGTTTACAGAGCGGTGCCGCCGCTAACACTGGTTTTAACGTGTCGCCCGTCTGCGTAAGGCTGGATTTGGATCTTGTACTTAGCTGCCAGGAGTGACTGTGATGAAGTGGGAGAGATAAACTGATAGATTGTGTGCCAGGAAGATGTTGGGGAATCAATCAGATAAACAGGGCAAAGAGAGAGAGAAAGAGAGAGGGAGCTTGCTGGGTTTATTCTCTCTGCTCCCTCCCCTGCGGGAACAAAGCAGCGGCCTCTCTGCCCCTTAACGGCTCCGAATGTAATTGCTGCAGTAATAAGAATTTAAAGGGTGTGTGTGTAAGCAAATGGAAAAAGCATCGCAGGGGGCTTTTTAATTGCCTTTATGTTTTTTAATAGAAGAGTTGTTGAGGAGGGAAGGAGAGATATACAGTTTTAAATAAATATATATACACGCATCCTTTAGGTGTCTGTCTGTTAAGGGCAGCAGGCTAGGTTGGGTGAAACCTTTCTGGTGTGTGTGTGTGTGTGTGTGTGTGTGTGTGTATTTGTGCATATGTGTGTGTTTGTAAGCCACCTGGGGGGTTGCACCCAGGACCTTCTGCACGCAAAACCGCAAGCGAGTTGCATTATCAAAGGGAGGATTTGAACCCTCCTTAAAATATGCGGGCCATAGCTCAGTGAGTAGAGCATCTGCTTTGCATGAAAGAGGTCTCAGGTTCAATTCTCACCGTTCCCAGGTGGGGCTGGGAATGTCTCACGCCTGAAAGCCCTGGAGAACTGCTGCCAGTCCTTGTAGATCATGGGTCAGCAAACTTTTTCAGCCGTGGGCCGGTCCACTGTCCCTCAGACCAGACTATATTTTGAAAATAAAAATAAAAATGAATGAATTCCTATGCCCCACAAATAATCCAGAGGTGCATTTTAAATAAAAGGACACATGTAAAAACACGTGGGCCGGATTTAGAAGGCGATTGGGCCAGATCCGGCCCTTGGGCCTTAGTTTACCTACCCATGCTATATGGGCTCTTGGATACCCAATAAGGGAAAGGGAGCAGTTTTTTCTTATAACACCCCTTTTTAAAAAAAGTAAGTTTCCAGTATTCGTGGTTCTGAATAAAAAGAGCCAATTTGCATAGGAAGCTGCCTTATATGGAGTCAGACTGGAGGGCTGTTGCTGTTCAAAACTGCCCCCTACCCTGCTGACGTCCATAGAACCAGACTTGCATTCTGGCCATCGTTGCACAGCAAACAAGGAAATCGGAGGTTGGTTGGGGTCTTGGGACTTTTGTGTCGTTCTCCATCCTGCTCTCCTTATTCTCAACAGGCTAAACAATGCAAAAGAAGCAAGTGTCTATAAGAAACGAGCCTGATGCAGTTAGCTGGCAGGAAGGCAATAAGCCCAATAATTCTGCTTAAGGCCTCATCCGTAAAAAAAGCCTGCTGGATCAGGCCAGTGCCGTATCTGGTCCAGCATTCGGTTCTCACCATGGCCAAGCAGAGGCGTATGGGAAGCCCACAAACAGGATCTGAGCACAACAGCACTCCCTGCCACTTGTGTTTCCCAGGAACTGGCATTCAGAAGCATCCTTGCCTCTGACGGCAGAGAGAGAACAGAGCCATTGTTGTTGGAAGCCATTGATGGCCTTCATCTAATTTAAAGCCATCACTACTTCTTGGGAGGAGCATATTCCACAGTGCAACTATGTCGTATAACTTATGGAGGACTAGAAGCTTGCGGTGCCCATTTTAAAGTGAATTCTGGGGTTCCCAGGAATCTCACAAAACGTGTCACGTTTTCAACTGTGTTGCTGCCTTTTGTTACTGAGCCAGAAGTGGAACATATCCATGCATTGAACATTATCTTGAGAATTAACGTATCCCACTTCTGGTTTGCATTGAAATCCGAAACAGGCCAAAAACCCACTTGTTTGGGCTTAAAAGATCGTTAGCTCGCCTGTTCTCCCCCCCGTGTAGAGATGGATGCCTTTATCCACCTTTTCTTTCCCTGTGTTTTCTGCCTGACCTTTTAAAGATTCTCTGCTGATATAGATGGGGTGGATTAAACTAATCATAAAATGATGAAGGGAAGCCTGCAACGCTCATTGATTTCGTCTGAAATTAACTGTAGTACAATAAGTCTTCCTAATGGCATTCTGTGTTGCGCTCCAAAGCGAGTTCCAGCTTCCTCCTATTCACAACCCCCCCCTCCGTAATTTATCTTGCCCCAAAGGGACCCCTCCCCTGGCATTCTTGATGAAGAAACTATTGCAACACCATCTACTCCCTTTCCTAAACAGAAGGCGGCTTACAATAATATGTCAGAGCCAGTGTAAAGGCTCCCCTCCCCCCTGTTGATTACCAGGATTTAAGACAGGCCTGGGGGTGGGACAAGTGTGGCCCTCTGGGCTTCTCTGTCTAGCCCTCTGAACTTCTTGAAACACATCCCGCTGACCCGGCTTCACAACCTCCTTGAGTGTTTTTGCCTGGCTGGAAAGTGTCTGTGCATTCTGATAGTGCCTCTTGCTCTTGCCTAAGTGGAGGACACAGGGCAATGTGTGAATGTCTGCAGCCTTTGCTGTGCAAAGGTAAAAATTTGGTTTGTTGCCCCACCCACGTTCGCCTCTGGTCCCACCCAACACCTTGCACGTGGCCCTCGAAAGGTTGCCCAGAAGGGAATGTGGCCCTTACCGCTGAAAAAATATTTATTTCGCATTGCGTGTTTTCAGTAGTCTCAAAGCTTTTGCTGAGTAAGGGAGCTTGTCAGAGAAGGAGGTACAAATGGCAGTTCAACTTGAGCTTGAAGAATAGCCCAGAGGTCAGGGATGGAGGTCCTTCTTTGAATGCAGAAGGTCCCTGGTTCAATCCCCAACATCTCTTGGAAGGGCTGTGACTGTAGTCTTTGTCAGAAATCCTGCCAGCCAGGGTTGGTTATATACTGAGCCATTGGTAACCCGACTCTGCATTATTCTGGTTTAAAAACCGCTTTGAGATTTCATACTTCATGCTATATAGATTTGAGGAAATAAATAAAGAAGCCGAGCCGGGAATGGCACGCTGGCGTGGGAGGGGAGGGTGAAATTCATGGTTCCGATTCTCATTCCTGAGTTCAGAACCTGAGTAAGATCCGTTGGGCGTTTCGGCGAATTCATTCCAGTGGTGTGCAGAAAGAAATGATCTGGCAAGACTGCTGGTTGAAGGGATGAGGGGCGCTTGATATTTATTGTTCGTGGCCAGCAAAGCCATTCTAAGTATAGGAGCCAAGATGTTAACATTGGAGCCTGCTAACTTATGCGGACTGAGCCTGGGGAAGAAGCAGGAAGGAAGTAAAGTCTAGGCGAGAAGGAACAGCAGGTTGACTTTCTTTTCTGTCTCCCCCGCCCCACAAGATGGTTGTTCAAACCCAGTTTGAGAATTCCACAATCTTGTATTGCTCTTTTCAAAAAACAAAACCAAACATGGCTTCTTCTCTCTTCATTTGCAGCTCCTCAGGGAACTTATTGAACGTAAAACCAGCTCCTTGGACCCCAACGACCAGGTGGCAATGGGCAGGTAAGCGGCCTGTTTTTGTCTGGCTTGAAACATTGCACAAAGGGCAACACACTGCTGGTTTGCGCAGGGCAGTGCAATGAATACTCAAGTTTTGAGTCTGAATTGTAATGTTTGCAAAAAGGCAAGGGGATAGGTGGGAAGTGATTTGTGTTTATTACACCCCGTATGTGTGTGCCGAAGATATTTGGAGGAGACTGAATTGGAGGGAAGGGGGTGGACAGGAGGCAGGGAATGAAAATTCTTCCTGCTAGTTACGCACATTTTTATTTTTAAGCTGGAAGCTGGCATTGCCTTCACCTGATTTACTTGTCGGGGAGCCCGGCATCGCAGGGTGGGGTGGGGTGGAATCTCAAAATCCAATTACCACAATCTTAATATAATCTTAATTACCGCAATCTATTTTATTGTAAAGTCAGATAAATGTACAATGTAATCACCACTTAAGTGCGGGAGTTTTTTGGGCTGCCTCCTGTTTAAATGATAGCAGAGCCTTGTTTCCATAATATTCCAGACGTACCACCAAATAAACAAAAACAAAACACCACCAGGCAATATTTTAACAAGGATGAAAACCGTTTCACCGATGCGCCTGAGCTTTTTTTTTTTTTTAACGTATCAAACAGCTTATGGGCAGTGATTTGTATGCAACCAACTCCAGCTCAGTTTTCATTTAGTTTCTTTGGTGTGTGTGTTTGTGTTTGCGTGCATCTATCCTGTATGTATGTGGCTGCGTGCACACGATACCTTTTAAAGCGCATTCAGAGCACACACACACACTGCCCCCCAAATCCGGGGAACTGTAGTTCCCCCTCCCCACAGAGCTATAATTCCCAGCACCCTTAAACTACAGTTCCCAGGATTCTTTGAGAGAGGAAATGTACTTTGAATGTGCTTTAAGGGTATGGTGTGTTCGCAGCCAGAGGTTCTTTCCTAACTCTCATTATGTGTCCCCCCCCCCTTTTTTAATGTTCTTCCAAATTTTAGCCGGCGGCTGTTTTCCAAATGTGTAACATTCATTAACCAGATTTAGAAATGTTGCTGTGTGTGGTGATGGGGTGTGTGTGTGTGTGTGTGTGTGTGTGTCGCTTTTTAACGAAGCCTTTTTCTAAGCACCGAACTGGAGATAGAAACAGGTTTTTGCCCCTTAGCTCTACATTTGACTCTGGGGATGCAGAAAATGGGCTTTTAGGCAGCTTTAAGGCCATCGTATTTTTAGCTCTGCTGCTATTCTGGCCTTCCTGCAGAGCCTCTGCTGCTAATACAGGCGGTGCAAGTTCCTGCCTGGTCCCTCAGCTTGTTCAGGGGCTGCCAGTACCTTTGGGTACCTCCTATGATGGTCTCTGGAAATATCCCCTCAAAAGTCCTCCTTTCATGAGAGGCTGTTTGCTCTTCCCACTCGGTTCCTGTTTGCACTGGCCTCAGCGTCTCTGGCAATGACCCTCCCTCTCCCCTTACACATGCCCAAATTTTACTGGGTGCCAGGGTTCGAATAAGCCTAGTGGCAGCTGATATGGGTGCCTTTCTCCCATTGACGGGGGCCCTGGGGGCAGATTGCTTAAATTATTATTTAAATTTATCACCCGCCCTACATCCTAAGGTCCCAGGGCGGTTCGCAACACTAATACACAATATGGAGAACAGATTAAAGCAACTTACACTCAGAAAAGCTTAAGTGGGTCCTAGAAATATACACCAGGCCAAGGTGGAGAAGTGCGTCTTCAGCATTCGCCCAAAAGCTGTGCGATGGTGTCCCCACCCTCTTTCAAGGAACCTTAACAAGTACTGCAATTTCCTCCCCCCCCCCTTCCTTAGGCAATGGCTGGCTATCCAGAAACTGCGGAGCAAAATCCGGAAGAAAGTGGACAAAAAGGCCAGCAAAGGAAGGAAAATTCGGTGAGTACATTAGGCTGCCTTGTCTTTACTTGCCAAATCGCTTTGCACCATACATGCCCGTTTGACTCTTTCGGTCAGCCAAACTGGCACCGGTGCATAACGCTTGTTCCACACTTGTAAGAAATCAGTCTTTTAGACTTTGGAACTCCTTGCCTGTTGACACAAGGAAGGTGCCTTCCCTGTATTTTTTTTTGTGTGTCTGCCAAAAAAAGCATTTTTGTTCAGGTAAGCCTGTCTAGGCATGTAGAAGCTGGCCTGTGCTTTAATCTGCTTTTAGTTTGTTGTTGATTTCAATTCTTTTGGTATGTTTTAAATACTCGTTTTTAACTGGTTTCTTAAAAAAATATAAATACTGATAACTTTTTTCTTTTGTAAACCGCTTTGAGGTTTTATTACAATCAACCGGTATATACCGTATTTTTCCGTCTATAAGACGCCCCCATGTATAAGATGCCCCCTATTTTGGGGGACTCCAAATTAAGAAAACACCCCTCAGCACTACCCATGTATAAGACGAGCCCCAATTTTAAACCTAATTTTTGGGTAAAAAAACACCCCTAGTCTTATACATGGAAAAATACAGTAAATATTGTGAAATAAAAACAAACGGTCTATGGTGCTTGGCCAGTTGTAGCTCACCCTCCCACCCCACTCTATGGGACCTGACTGCCTTCTTAGCTTCGAGTTTTATTTATGTGTTTCTTACACAGCCTTACGTCTTCTTATATCAATAGGCAGAGGTTATCAAAGCAGTATACAGAAAAAAAAAGAAAAGGGATAAAATTGTGTTCACCATCAGAGGTGATGCGGAGGGTGGTAGCACAAGAATGGGGCCTTCTCAGTGGTGGTTCCCCATTTGGGGAATGCTCTGCCAAGGGAAGTTTGCCTGGCGCCATCATTGTTTGATCTGTCGCTGCTAGACTAAGATTCACGCCCCTGAGACTCGGAGTGGGAAGATGAGTGCGCATGTTTAGGGAAGCTTTTAATGTTTGATGGATTACTGTATTTTAATATTTTGTTGGAAGCTGCCCAGAGTGGCTGGGGAAGCCCAGCCAGATGGGCGGGGTATAAACAATAAATGATGATGTGTGCATGGCTGCAAGGCAAGGTGTGCATGGTTGCATTGCATGTATGTGCTCAGGTGGCCCACAATAACTTCTCATGTTCCTAAATGTTTAAGCCACGACCCCAAGCATTACAGGCTAATAATACCAACACTTTTTTTTTTAATCGAGCTTGGAAATGAATACCTAGCCAGTCCAACTATTGGAGCAATGCGTCCAGATCAGTTGTGGTTGGACTCGAACTCCTTGCATCCCTGACCGCTGGCCATGTTGGGGGGCTGATGGGAGCTGGAGTCCAGCAACACCTAGGGGGCTTCTTGGGTCAGCTAGCACCAATTCACCTTTTTTCTCCTGAGTTGTGCGCCGGAATAAATTTGAAGCACAAGATGTTTTCTCTTTTGATGCACTGAAGCCAGAAAATCTACTGTACTGCCTTCCCTGCTGGTGTGGTTTGGTTTTGGGGGTTGGAGGTAGGGGAGTGATGCGCAACTTCAAGCACCCTGTGTGTGTGTGTGTGTGTGTGTGTGTGTGACCAAAACAATAAATCCCGTGCTCAGATGGGCACTTGATAGAAGTCAGCCGAGTGGGGCTGGGTCAGGCCTGGCATAGCAATTTTTAAGATAGATGTCATGAGATAATTTATGAAAAGAGGGTTGAGCTGCTTTGTTGGGCCTAAAAGCCTGTAATTATTGACTATCAATATTCCTTCCTGTCAGCGTCGTACGCAACTGGGATATATTCATGACTCCGCCAGAGCCCCCTGACAGGCATCGCACCACCCTGAGCTGGGCTCATAGAACCTTTCTATTATTATTATTATTATTATTTCTTCTTCTTCTTCCTTTTAGCCAAAGGGATTTAGAACAGTTTTTGTCTGTGGGATTATGTCTCTCTCTCTCTCCCCTCCCCCACCCCCGAGTTATCAAAAACCTAAGAGGGGGAGGGGAATGACCAGGGCTGGATTTAGGTTTGATGAGGCCCTAAGCTACTGAAAGTAATGGGGCCCTCTATATGTCCAGCTGTCCTTTGTCAACAACAATTCGTCGCTGTTTTTTGTGTTGAATATATGCTATATGGTAATTTATGGACCTGATAGGTATCTAAAGCCATTGGCACATGTTGCCATGCAACCAGTGCATGCAGAATGTAGGCACCCTATACAGTGGTACCTCGGGTTACATACGCTTCAGGTTACAGACTCCGCTAACCCAGAAATAGTACCTCGGGTTAAGAAATTTGCTTCAGGATGAGAACAGAAATCGTGCTCTGGCGGCACGGCAGCAGCAGGAGGCCCCATTAGCTAAAGTGGTGCTTCAGGTTAAGAACAGTTTCAGGTTAAGAACGGACCTCCAGAACGAATTAAGTACTTAACCTGAGGTACCACTGTATATAGAAATGAGCAAACCAGTGATATTTTAGGGAGCAGGCTAGCAGCCGGCGTCCATTACTTACATCATAGGATTCCGTTCTTAGACAGAGGTAAAGTTCGCAGACCGAGACACTTATTTCCGGTTTTGCAGAGTTTGTAAACCAAATCGTTCTTAAACCAGACTGTTCTTAAACCGAGGTACCACTGTATAGCGTTGAAGGGAAAGAGAGCTGGGAGGAGAAAGTGCTGGGGAGAGAAGGGGCCCTCTGACCTTCCCACCGCTGCCTTTGTATGGCTGGGATCTGATGCTCTGAATCGAAACCTCACGCGAGCGCAGAGTGTGCTCCATCGCTTAGCTGCAGCGATTTCCGTGAAGGCGCAACAGCTTTGTGGGAGGACAGCAGCTCAGTAGCAGAACATCTGCTCTGCATGCAGAAGGCCCCATCTTCAGCCTCCAGGACAGCTGGGAATCGTTCCTCGCCTGAAACCCTGGAGAGCTGCTGCCAGCCAGTGCAGGAAGTTCTGAGCTAGGCAGACCAGTGGTCTTGACTTGAGAAGAAGGCTGCTTTCTGCTTTCGTTTCCTCTATCTGAATAGTTACAACGCGCTCTCCGCGTGTGTGTTTCTCTTCCCAGGTATCACGTCCACAGCAAGCTGGTCAGTTTCATGGCCCCCATTGACCATTCCACGATGACTGATGATGCCAGGTTAGTAAGCGGTTAATTACGCTTCTCGGAGGGCTTTGTGACAGCTTGATATTGACCTGTTCTTCAGGCTGTCACTGTCCCTGGTTCTTTGTATCAGTTAGCCATTTGTCACCGGCACAATGCGGGCCTTCTGTCCTGGCCGAGCCAGATGGGTGCGTTTTGCCGCTAGAATTGCACGCTGCGTTTCTCTGCGGTTCAGGCCGGGCTCTGCCCTTGCCATTTGCTGCTCAGACACTTCAGCTATATCTTGCTTTGTGTGTGCTTTAAAAAAAGAAAATTTCCATGCAGTCAGATTGCACTGTTTTCAATGTCACCAAGAGTCTTTCGTGACATGCTGTAAAGGAGAACACATTTAAGGCCCCATCTGCAGTATAAATTTAAAGCCATACCGTACCACTTTGGACAGTCTTGGCTTCACCCGGAGAATTCTGGGAGCTGCAGTATGTTAAGGGTGGTTGGGGAGACCCCTGCTCCCGTCACAGGACTACAGTTCCCAGAGTTCCCTGGTCTGGTTGTTAAATTAAGGTTAGCAGATTTTTTTCAATGAATCCAGGGACACTTCATTGAAATGAGTCGGAATGGTAGGATTTTGTCAGGGGACTGATTTGTAAATCCAGGGACTGTCCCCGGGAAATGGGGACGTCTAGTAACCTTATGTTAAACCACTCGGAGAAGCCAGAATGCAACCTACCATGTGTGAGCCAGTGTGGTGTAGTGGTTAAGAGCGGTAGACTTGTAATCTGGTGAAACGGGTTTGCTTCCCCGCTCCTCCACATGCAGCTTCTGGGTGACCTTGGGCCAGTCACACTTCTCTGAAGTCTCTCAGCCCCACTCACCTCACAGAGTGTTTGTTGTGGAGGAGGAAGGGAAAGGAGAATGTTAGCCGCTTTGAGACTCCTTAGGGTAGTGATATCAAATCCAAACTCTTCTTCTACCATAGCGTGGTAAGATGAGCATCCTCTGCCCTGCCCACCACTGGCGTGCAGCCCCCAGAACATTGCCCATGAGGTGTTGTGGCCCTTGGGTTGCAAAAAAAAGTTCCACCGCAATTTTTAGCTTAGCATAGATTTTTGTTTTGCGCAGACCACCCATGGTTTTGTCCAGACTTCCCCAACCTGGTGCCCTCCAGATGTTTTGGTCTGCGCTCATGCTTCTTTAATGTGTCGTGGCATGGGAATGTGGCCTTTATCGCGGTTGCAAGAGGGAAACATGGCTACTGTTTGGGAAGCTTCTTTTAAAAAAGAAGGATGTTTCTAAGTTTCACAGGAGGCTGAACTGTGTGCACCAGTTTCTACTTGTAAATGATGCACAGGTGGACTGCATAGAGCCTCTTGTCCTCGGCTGTATTTCTGGGGACCACATTTTCTATGAGGCCAAGTTAATTTCGCAGTGTCCAATTCAAAACAGCTCCCGGAATTGCCCCCCTCCCCTTCCTTCCATATATTATTTTTTTAATTTTTTTTTTCCTTTTGCAATGCAAAACCTATATAAGCATGAAAGAGGGAAGGTAATGATAACGGCGCTTTCTTTAGTGCCAGTCGAAGGTAATTTCATTGTTTGCAAGTGTGAATTACGAGATTGAAAATGCAAATAATGCATTTCACAGCGGTGTGATCACGCACTGGGCTTCCCCCCTCCCCCTTCCGTCATTTTGGAGGCTTGACCCCAAAATAAATAAAAACACCGCATGTTTATAGTGTGAAAAATCAGGCGCTGGGGGGGTAGTGGGGGAAACAGCAGCATGCTTACAGCCTATAAAATAGATTAATTGCCTGGTGGTGGGACTTTTGGAGGTGGGGAAGAGAAGATGCATTAAGGATTAAGGATGCAAAAGGAGTTGGGATGCACACAGTTTTCTCCAACTCAGCAGACAATAACTTGCAGTGTGAGCTATGAAAGTGCCTTTCTATATTTGAATGCTGAGCTGGGACTTTGTGAAAAAGCAATTTGGGGTGCAGAGGATGGCACAAGGGCTCTGGGTAGCCAAGGCAAGAGTCAGATATGCACTTGGAGGAGAGGGGGTCTGGCAATTCAAGGTTGCTATTGGTCTGGGATTGAAGGCATTGCGCAGAATGCAGCTCTTTAAGGAAAACCTTGTTCTTCCACCTGCCTTATCCTTTTGAGACTTTGGTAGTCATTGCCCTGCATAACACCTCTTGAGAACTAGAAACTTGCTCCTAATTAAACAGGTTGTTTTAGTTCCCGCACCTGCCACCACATTCTGGGCTGCTTTGGGAGGAAAGGCTGGATATAAACTTAATGTTTAAAAGGATCGATTCTGCAGTTTCGTGGAATTGTGACATACGGACACTCCGGAGGTATCCAGTAATTAAATTAAGCCTGTGCTTTTTTTTTTAGGATGCCATTCTGTACTAGGTATCCACTCTCCATGCAGAATAACCATTTGCAATGGAGCTTCTCTCATAAGTTCAAAGTTGTTGCAACATCAGTGGCTACCAGTCACAATGGCTATCCATGCTTCTGGGTACCAGTTGCTGGAAACCACAGGAGCTGAGAGTACCCTTGCGCTGAGCTCCTTCTTCCCATAGGCATCCTCCGTGAGAACACAGGGCTCAGGGCGTTGGGTAGAGGTGGGTGGGATGCTCCTGGCACATGAAAGAGGACCGGGGCAAAGATTGTGCAGCCCCCACCCCCTTTCTAATTGGTCCGGAACTAGAGCAATGTTTCTAAACTTGGCAGCGCCTTTTAATGGCATCGTTAAAAGGGTTTCTCGTCGCTCCTTTCTTTATTAGCGTCTCCCTCTGTTCCTTATCAGACGGCGGGACAAACATAACTCATGGCGCTGATTTTGATCTCTAGTTAAAGAGGATTACAGCTTTGCATTAACTTGGATTGACATGGTTTATAATTTGCCCGCTGATACAGATGCTGCCAGGGAAACCCACACCATGTGTGCACGAACACGCTCAGGCACACCTGGCGCATTGCTGTTGGGAAAAGAACACTTGAACGCAGCACTTTTTTTAAAAAAAAATCCAACTTTTGTTTTATCACGCCTTTCCTCCAAGCGGCTCAAGGTGGCGTACGTGGTTCTCTGTTGTTGTTATCCTCACAACAACCATGTGAGGTAGCTTTACTGTAGGTGAGAGGCAAAATCTAATATATTAAAAGCAGCTTTGCCTGTTTAACAGCCTCTTTCACTCCCACTTTGATATTTTTTGGGGAGCCACAAATGCCAGGAGTAATAAGTCTACCCAAACAATCTCTGTGGCTTTGGGGGCGCCAAGGACACATCTCTGCCTTGTAATCCTAGCACAGATTCCATCAAATCTTATCGACCCACTGCTCTCCCTGAAGGACTTGACTCCACTGTGCTAAATTCTTCTGATTCCAATGTCCAGACTCTGGTCCACAACATCATCACCGATCGATAGCATCCAGTGCCAAAACGGTAGCTGTTTTTCTGCGTTTGGGGACCTGATGTTTAGGGGTTTCCCCTAATGCCGGTCCTGCTCAAAGTAGACCCATTGTTAATTGGCATGACTCACGTCAGTGGTTGAACATAACCCAGCACAGAGAAGAAAAGTCACCTGAGCTTTCTGGCTTAGTAGTGGAGACTGCCGCCTTTTTTTTTTTTGCATAGTTCCTAATATTTTATCCCACCCTTCCTCCAAGGAACACTCCATACATAGTTCTCCACCCCCATGCCCCATCCACACAACAACCCCTTGAGGTAGGCTGTGTTGAAAGATAGCCGTAGGCTCACTCTAACCACTGAGCTACGGTAGCCGGATGGTTCTCTGCGGAAACTCATGTGAAGCAAAGTTAGGTGTAAGGCTGAAATACAGTGGTACCTCTGGTTACGTACTTAATTCGTTCTGGAGGTCTGTTCTTAACCTGAAACTGTTCTTAACCTGAAGCACACTTTAGCTAATGGGGCCTCCTGCTGCTGCCGCGCCGCTGAAGCACAATTTCTGTTCTCATCCTGAAGCAAAGTTCTTAACCCGAGGTACTATTTCTGGGTTAGCGGAGTCTGTAACCTGGAGCGTGTGTAACCTGGAGCGTCTGTAACCCAAGGTACCACTGTACTTAGGATATTGGAATGCCATCGCCTTTGACGTACCTCCTCTTGTTGGCCACCAAAAGTGGGCAGGCTATATGTGCTTTAGTCAGGGGTGGCGCATTTTCCCAGACTAGGTTCCCGTGTTCTAAAAAGCGGGCTCTTCCTCTGTGTCAGTCACTGCCCGTCTTGCTGTGAGATGTAGGAGGTTCCGCTAGGAAATCTGGGCATTAAAGGATTAATACGTTTCTGTGACATAAGAGTTAGCAGGGGGGAAATCTTCACAAGTTCCTAGTCTTTTACTCTGCATACTTTGTATGTCTGGTATTAAAAACACTGAGTGGTTGGATTAGTGGGGGAATTTGGGTCTGGAGCTGTCAATCCTGTTATCTCTGCAAATACAAGAAGTTATCTTTTTGAAAGTTTACTTGGAGGGTCGTTTAACCCAAATGTGTCCACCTGACCACTTCCTTCTGCGGTTCCTGGCATTTTCATGAGCTCCACGTAAAGTTCGTTCTGCATTGGTGAGAAATTGGTATTACAGGGGTGCCTCGCAAGACGAAATTAATCCGTTCTGCGAGTCTCTTCGTCTTGCGGTTTTTTCGTCTTGCGAAGCACGGCTATTAGCGGCTTAACGGCTTAGCAGCTATTAACGGCTTAGCGGCTTTAAGAAAAAGGAAACAAACTCGCAAGAACTCGCAAGACTCGCAAGAACTCGCAAGCCCATAGGGAAATTCGTCTTGCGGAACGACTCAAAAAATGGAAAACCCTTTCGTCTAGCGAGTTTTTCGTCTTGCGAGGCATTCGTCTTGCGGGGCACCACTGTATTAGTGTGGCAGCACCTATTATTATATTATACAATGATACCTTGGTTCTCAAACTTAATCCGTTCCGGAAATCCGTTCCAAAACCAAAGTGTTCCAAAACCAAGGCGCGCTTTCCCATAGAAAGTAATGCAAAATGGATTAATCTGTTCCAG